TCTATGTTCACTTAAGAATTGACATTCACTTTGTCGCAACCAATGGTTGGAACAGCAAAGAGTAAAGAGAGTGGCTGTACCCATCATGAAGTCTCGGCCAAAACTGGAAATGGTATCTCTGAAGTGTTTGTGGACATTGTTAAACAATGGAGGAAAGGACAAAAGAAACCAAAGACATCAAAGGTAGCAAAATGGTTGAAGAATGGCAAACGTGCTCTGTCAGAATGTTTAAGGTCCATTATTTCACATTGTGAAAATAAATAGTTTTATATTATTCTATTTTGGTTTGCATTTCTATTTAAAATGTTTCGATTGTTTGGTGTCAGACGTATTGGCGTATTCTTGCTCCATAAAGAAACCTTACAGGGATGCTAACTTCACCTTGAACCGTGTTGAAATGAAGATGGGACAATACAATAGTGAAAAGCAAAATAGTAAACTGAAGAGAGATGAACTGAAAAGGTAGTACTCGCCCATATTGTATCTGACAGTATGATTATAAAACTATGCTCCTTCTTCGCCCACCCGTCCACACGCACACATACCGCCACCACCACCCCACCCACCCCTTCTGACATTTATCACATTTTAAATGATCGCCATAGAGGCGATGTTCAGAGTGATAGTCTCTCTCACATGTGTGCATGCTGAGGTTCGATTCTGGACATGTGTACAATATTTTAAGCCTATTTCTGGTGTCCCCCGAAAAGATATGGCTTTATTTTTTCTTACAGCTGGGTCGTTTAATCAGAATATGAAGGCCATCCAGCCCATAGATCATATAATACATTGTGTTCTCACATAACAATTCAAGTATTAATCACAATTAATTAATATTAAACATACATGCTATCAAGACACACAGTCCATAACATCTCTATCATGTACTGGTACATATACAACACAATTAAAAGCGTGTCAACATCAACATTGAGTATGGAACAACGTAAATATAGATCAAGAATAACAAGTATATTCTGAAATTAAATAATGCATATTTGAACACATATTAATGAAGACATCTCCTCAAGTTTAATTCACAACTTGGAAGTGCATTTTGATGACTTTGGATGTTTACGTATTTGGTGGGAGCATATTATTCACTAATTTGAGTTCCACATCTGATTGGGATGAACAGCTTTGTGAGGCTGAGTGAGAATAATAACTGACTTGCGTTGCCTGCCCTGTCCATGTTCAAGGTTATACCAGGGCTGGTCAAAAAGTTCTAAGCCTCACTTACTTTCAACTGGGGGCATAACAAAGTGAACTAGTTAAAGTAGTACATTGTTTGAGTAGTTGGTCTGTTTGGGCCGTTTGTCTATAAGTGACAGCCAGTTGAACGCGATAGGGGAGGGGGGGGGGGGGGGACAAAAATGGAAAAGAACGCGTACAGAGCAGTCATGATTAACACCCTCTTTCCAATGACACCAATTATAAAAGTGATATATATATCACTTCAAAAGTATCACTTTTATAATTGGTGTCATTGGAAAGAGGGTGTTAATCATGAGTTTTGTACGTACATGACACTAACTGTTTGAACATTTCAATACATTTCCTACAGTTCCCTTGGAAACCCGAGTTAGAATACGTCCCAGCTCTTGCCTGACGTAGGAGACTACCCAATGGATCGGTTAGTCAGGCTCGATGACTCGATTGATGCGTGTCATGATCTTTCGTACCAGCGGCGTAGGACGTTGCTCATAGAGCAGCACTATTCCTTTTATTTGTCTGATGTAGACTCCATTATTTACAGGCCGCCATCACATACTTTATCCACATCGATCAAATATTTCCTGGACATATCTAATGAACTGAGAATCGACTTGCTATCAACCCATAAAGCATTATAGCTGCAATTGGTCAAAGGGGAATAACTCCAATAACTCTGGTAAGAACAAGACTGTGTACCGCATCCATTTTCACTTCCCAAACATTACAGCGTAAAAGATGTGTTTAGAAAGTAACGACATGTTTAGATCTGAACATGATTAGAAATGTGCTTAATCCTATACGGAATTCACATTTGATGTGTTCTATCTATACCCACTTAGGTCTAAACACATGAAATTAGCTATCGCCTCACAGCCTAAACACCACCTTAACACATTCCCACAATCTATACATGTTCAGAATTTAAACACGTTAAAATATGCTTAAAATCATCCAAAATATAAAGATTGTAAATATCCCGGTACACAATGATTGGGTAACCCCTACAGGACCTCATGAAGAGACAGAGGCGCGATGTGCACGAAATGCTTGAAAACAGAGAGCACAACAACATTTGCTACTAAAGATTGCAAAGCCTAATGCACTTATGACCCCCCCCCCCCCCCCCCCCCCCACCCCCCACCCCCCACCCCCACCCCCACCCCCCGCTCCCAAAAAAAAGACAAAGAAAAAAAAGACGTCGTTTGAAGACCGAATAATTAGGCCGATGCATGGGCATGCTTGAAACTGGGTCAACACAACGTACGTTGCCAACTTCATTGGTGTCTGCCAAAGTGTGTTCAGCAGGGTGTGAAATTAATATCAGACGTTCGGACCAGCTACCCAACGATATACAGATGGTCGACAGTGTTCCACTACACAGCGGGAAGACGGGTTTCTCCTGATAAAGGATGAAAGCTACCACTCAGAAATGACCTGCAGAATGCCAGGGGCGTTAACGTTTCTTCTCAGACAGTGCGTAATCGTCTCTGTGAGGCCATTCTCTGGTCACGGGGGGCATGCATTCGCATCCTACTGACCTGACATCACAGGCAGGCACGTTTGAATTGGCCTGAAGACCGCGTCAGTTGGACAGACCAGGACTGGGCCACAGTACTTTTCACTGAGGATTCGAGATGTCGTCTAGACTTCACAGATCGCTTATGCAAGGAGAAAGGTTTCAGGATTCCAACGTAGCCGAAAATGACTGCTATGAAGGGGGCTCAAACATGATTTCGGGTTGGATCAGTACAGCGGGAAGAACTGATTTGCATGTCCTATTTAAAGCGGGGCATGATTACAGGTGTACGCTACAGGGACATTCTACACGTGTACGTGATACCATATGCTGGTGCAATCGGACCGGACTTCGTCCTCATGGGCGATAACACACGACCTCATCAAGCCAGGGTCGTTGATGCCTACCTAGAGCAGGAGGGCATTGTCCCCGTCATCTGAACCCAACATGTCGAACGACTTGCAGATCACCCTCTCACGACGCCCTGTCCTTCCCGCAACTCTACAGGAACTCGACAATGCTCTTACTGAGGAGTGGAACAATCTTCCCTTGGCAACCATCCAGACTCTTATTGGGAGAATCAGACAACGGTGCCAGACTGTCATCGCATCACGTGTAACACATACGTGTTACTGAGAGTTTATGGGGTTTTTTTATATAATGAATTTTTTGTGTGTGATTTTTTGACGTTTCAGTTTTGGTCAAATACTCTCATTTTTACGGATGACCTGGCTGATTATTTGTCACATGTTGTTAGTTGGCATTACGTGACACATGAAACGGATTTTTGGCAATAAGTCAAATATGGATAAGATGTATTATATAAATATTGAAATTAGATGTGCAATCGGATTCACAGGCATTTGAATAACACATATACCACCAGGACTGGGTGGAATATTATCATAGAAATATACAAAGATACAAGACACCAAATGTGTCGAAACTTCTGCTTTTGATGGAAATTATTCTGAATACAAAAATGTCTGACGCTTTACTGGCACTCTTCATATTATATCAGGAAATTCCGTCCACCGAGAATAGGGTAAATGTTCCTGCTTCTTCATGGTGGGTGGCGCCTCTAAGGCGCCCCAATTCGCTTTGCAGAGATGCATCCCTTGGGCACGCCAGAAACCTTTGTTCATGGGTTCGCCCCGATTATGTTTCAATTTGAGTCAGCACCATACCCGTGGTCGTGGGTTTCACCGAAGTGGTAAACGTCTTAGACCAGCATCACTTTGGGCTTTCCTCCCACATAAAGCTGACACGTCGTGATACAAATGAAGTATTATTCAAGTGAGTGAGTATGGTGGTACGCCGCTTTTAGCAATATTACAGCAATGTCACGGTGAGGGACACCAGAAATTAGGTTCACATACACATTGTGCCTAGAAATAGTGTCTAAAGGGGTGTTAAGCCCAACTCACTCACTCACTCACTCACTCACTCACTCACTCACTCACTCATAGTTCGTCAAATGAATACAGTACTCGTGGCTGTTACGTGAGCGTATTATGTCTAATGAATAAAAATTAACCTGTTAACATCCCAGTTCAAGTAAATACATAATGCCAACGCCAGAGAACAGCTTTTCTCCACCATCCGTCGAAACAGATTCGACCGGTCGTAAAAGGCAAAATAATGGTGAAAATTATATGAATAGATCACTGAGAATAAGTGATGACACAAGTTGTTCGTTAAAACGGTAAGCGTGTAACCCGGAACTTCAACAAGTTGCATACAAAATTAAGATATAATTCCGATATATTCCAAATATAACTAATCAAGATACCAGTGTAGTGATTTTGTATGGAGACCAGATATTTTTTTCAGCTACACCTGCAAATGCAGATAAAAAAAATCAACTATTTTGGAAAAATACTTGCAACTATGTTATTTGTTGCAGATAATTTCCTTTTTCCTCAGTCTAAAGCATATAATTATTTTTTAAAAGAAGTTTTGGCGACAATTTATTCTTTTCGATAAAATCTAATCCCCACAACCCCCTCCAAATGGTCGGTCCCAAAGTAGTGGAACAAGTATCCCCGACACAATTGCTTGTGTAGATTATTTCATGTATCCATGCGCACAACGCGTACGTATGTCTTTATCAGAACATTTATGTACAAAGGTAATTGTAGGACAACTGTGCACTCCTTATTACAAGATCATGTAGTAATCAGGTCGGGACAGTCTAGTTCATGACGTGATTCAGATAAAGTAACATGTTTATATAAGTATTCATTGTTAGCAATCTACACTAGGTCAAGATGTCAGTGTCAGGCAACAAAGGCACGCAATTGACAAAGGTTGGGACGCTTCGACATTGTTGTTCTTCGGTGGACAGATGGGGTGTTTGTGGACGTACTGCAAAAGAAAGGACACTGAGCTATGGCTACCCTAATCAACTGGATAGATATTCTGGTGCTTATCTTGTACTTTGCACTGGTCTTGGCTATAGGAATCGTCGTAAGTACCATTTTGTAATCTGAAGTCTGGTGCGTGTTATACCACATGGGGGGACTATATTTCCCGCATGGCACGTTTATTGGATTTATACCAACCTGTGTGAATGATCTCCCGTTGGCTTTGTTATTTATCCTATTCATTTTTATTGTAATTTTTCCTTGACATTCTGTGTCAGCGGAACTTATATATAACACATTTAATGGGTTCTGTTCACGTTTGTGTGGACTGATGTGCATTCATCTCATTGGTTATTAAATTAGTTATTGAGAATTCAGATACAATTTTAAAGGAGAATGTGACCCGTTTTGTTTCTCCGACACTGGTAGTGAAAAGCCTTCCAATTTCCGTTCTTTGGGGAAGGTCATCAACAGGTTTCCTGGTCACATTGTGGAGAGTTGCGTCCCTTTGGCGTTCCATGAAACCGTGATAAACGCTCCCAGTTGGTATGCTCCATAGCCAAGAATAATGAAGCACACGCCTTGATAAACTGAATTATCGGAAATACAATATAAAAGCGGCGTTAAACGCAATTCACTCACTTACTTACCCATACTGTTTCGCGGATTTCGCTGTTTATAGTAGTGTTTAGTAAAATGCATTCAAGAGTTTTCTGTTTGGCGTTCTCTTTAATTGGGGACGTGGTTGAACATTACATCACCGCATATCTGCTCACTGTGAAAGAGGAGTAAGTGATTATGGTTTTAGCACTGTTGAAGCAACAGTGAACACCAGAAATGACTTCAGACGCTATACCCACGTGGAGAATCCTCAGACCTTGACGATTCGCTCGGCTACTGTGTGATCCGTAGACCTTAGCGTCGCTAGTAGGTTATTATGGGGTATATTGATCTTATGCTGACTTGCTGCTGGTGTTACTGCGCTAACCTCGTCGGCTATGGTATTATATTTAAAAAGTATACCCTCTTCATCTAGTAATACGTGAAATTTTTCTCAGGATTATCTAGTTGGGGACAAGTGCCGTATTACTGCTGGTAGTCAAGAACTTTAGTAGGTCAAATACTTGTATACATAGGAAGTGAGGTATTTCTTTTTTTAGCCCAAGAGACTGTTCAGGGAAAGGTCTACAGTCCCCATGTAGCCAAGCCGAGGTTATTCACCTATTTTAGAGTGCAGAGTTAATTTACCCCCAGGTGTTTATCGGTCGCAGCCGGTTTAATCAGCTTTGCGTCAGTGTTCTTTTTGCCAGTTTTTGAAATAGCTGGTTTACGGTTATGAACAAACAATGCGGTTGCTTAGTTAATGAGTTTCATGTTATTTCATTGTTCATTTATCGGTGATCTTTGCCTGTGACAATTTGACGGCCAGTTACTTTAGTTTGTCCCTCGTTAATTACATCAAGCTGATTGGTTGGTTGGTTGGTTGTTTAACGGCGGACTTAGCAATATTCCAGCTATATGACGGCGGTCTGTAAATAATCGAGTCTGGACCAGACAATGCAGTGATTGATATCATGAGAGTCTATCCACGCAATTGGGATCGATGACATGTATCAACCAAGTCAGCGAGCCTGACCACCCGATCCCGTTAGTCGCCTTTTACGACAAGCATTGTCACCTTTTACGGCAAGCATGTGTTGCTGAAGACCTATTCTACCCCGGAATACATCAAGCTGATAATATTAAAACTGTGAACTTTTACTAAGTTGTACATCATTTTTTATTTACATGTATTAACACCCTAGTTTCAGGAGCTCAGCTCCGTGACGGTACACCAACTGATAGTTTAAGGATGATCAACACCACACAATAACAGTTCAGTTCGGTAACGGGAAACGGGGCTCTAAGTTTGAAAGTATTGAATTATGGATCGGCTTTTTCGTCGCGTATTCAAAATTCGCTATGGACTGTAATTTCGACTAGTTTGATTCGTAGTCGGTGCTATTCTAGATCTCACTGCGCAGCGCGAAGTGACACCTATCGGAAGATCGAAGAATGAGAAGCTTTTTATCAAACAAGGTATTCAAAAAAGAGCTGCAGCCAAACTGACATGTGTTTTTTGTTTTTAATTAATGCATACACAACTTGAAAGAGTAGCTTTTGGTCAACATCATATTATGTACGTTTAACAACTACATAGTTTTCCTTCGAGGAATTCAGTTAAACGAACAGGTGATATTAAACTTGGTCCATAAAAATGTGAAATTAGAGATTTCATGATGATGATTTACATTTAAATTGTATTTTGTCCAATTAGCGTATTGGACAATTTGATCAGTTACTGAAAGAATGAAATCAAAATGCTAATATCGTAATAACAACCGACAAAAGTCATATGGATAATATCAGATAGTTTTATCGGTTAATCCTTTGATCGATGTTTTATTAGCAACTCAACTGACCATTCCTCTCTTGCTTCGCTGCCACGTGCATATCACATCTTAGACTGAATAATTATCCTAGACACGAGAATGCCAAGTGCAAACCACTGATTGCTATATATCCTTGACACCCTCAGAGACAGGTGTGAACGTTCTTGAGTTGATTTGCATAGATTTTGATGGGATTCAGGGGGATTTCCCCTCGCTGTCAACGAGGCAGTCCGAAGCCTAATTTGTAGGGTCGCCGAATTGGCACCTGGTGAATAGCGGGAAAATTACAACGGCGCCGGCTGAACGACAGAGAGTTGCAGTTGGAGAGTCTTTGAACTTCACAGACGCTGCCGTGCGAAGAAGAATTTCCGAGAGGATATTTCGGATCACACTTATAATAAGGAGGGGCGACAAAGCGCGGACGTCGGAACATCCCCTCGGGTAGTCCTTCAATCCAAGAGTGAGTGAGTTGGGTTTAACGCCGCTTTTAACAGTATTGCAGTTATATCACGGCGTGTCAGCTCAATGTGGGAGGAAAGCCCGAAGTGATGCAGGTCACGGACGTTTACCACTTCGGTGAAACCCACGAGCACGGGTATGGTTCTGACAAACCTAGAAACATAATCGGGGCGAACCGGTATTCGAACCCACAATCATAGGTTTCTGGCGTGCCCAAGGGACCCAAATCTGCACAGCATATCGCGGCGCCTTAGACGACTGGGCCGCCCGTGCCCCCTCTTCAACCCAAGAGGGCAGCCAAGGCTATAAAGTGTGCTTTTTAACAAACTTTAATCCGATACCAAGGATTAACATGTTAACTGACTACATTTTAAAACCATCATGCTAATGTGCACAGTCGGCACTTTACACAATATGTTCTATGTACAATTAAGGCCAAAGTGTTTTATTATTTTCCGCCTAAAACTAGTAAGAGGTAACTAAAATCCTCGAGGGAATTTAAGCAATCAATAACTGACATACATGAATTTTGCACAAAGAATTTCATAAGATTGGTTCGAGATTACAGACTAATGGAAAAACGCCGACTTCACCGACAGCGACCGCCGCACATTGGCTATCGTTGTGCAGGACGAGCGAGATAAGGGATGCAACTCCGTAATCACTCGGTCGCCGTGAACTCATTTCACCAACACATATAAACATTTGTAGTAGGTATACGTAAAGTTAAATCTGGTTTTCCGCCGCTTTTAGAGCTTAATATAACCAGCCCTATCAGCGCCAAAGTGAAGACACTGAACACGACTCCTTAACACAATATCGGTGTTGTTTGTGTTGATTTTATGGATTACATATTTTGTCTCATAATTACGCGGGGCATTTGAACAATGTTTTTTAGCTGCAGTACAAATGACAGAGGCGCAGGAGATAAGCCGGTGTCTCAGAAGCATATGCTTGGTTCTTGTTCAGCGACCCCTGTTTGTCGTACGAGGCTACAGGGGCAGTGTGGGCACTCTCGATACTGAGTGGATAGGTGGTCAGACTCGGTGACTTGGTTGATCCGTTTCACCATATCCAGACTTATTTTTTTACAGATTAATAGCTGAAATATTTGTGATTGCTACGTTTTACAACAATAAAGAACCATGTACTGGTATTGCCACAACTCTGCAAAGTAGTATCGATAATGTTAACTGTTTACTGAACTGGTTCTGGTCATAGTCTTCAATCTGAACGGGATTTTGAATTACCCTATTCGACGTAATAAGCGCCCAGGGCGCTCTCAAAATTAGGAATAGGGGGATCTTATTAGAATATTATTTTGGTGGAAAAAACAGAGTTGACAGATAAATTTTGTGGTTTAAGCTGACAACTTGAAATGTTTATGTACGACAGATATATTTTTCCAGAATGAAATTGCCCATAATTAAGGGTGCATATAACACACAAGTGTGTATCATATGCAAATAACTAAGTCTTGTGTACATTGATCAATTGGAAGGGGTGCTAATTGGAATTGTTCACTTGCCAATATATTAACAAATATCGCCCTGGGCACTTATTGGAGCGGGGCGCTTATTACGTCGAATACGGTATGTCCGTAGCTGGCCACAGAAATTCTTAAGGTATAATAACATTCTGCAGGGCCACTGCCGTTAAAATAACCAAATAATGCACGTAACTCTCGACGACAACGGCTGTCATTCTGTCTGCTGTAACTACCATACAGTCCTCCCTGTCACAAATGTTTAACTGTCTCTTTCAAAATATTAATTTAATAACTTAAAATAATAACGTCGTTAACAGACTGACGTATGTCGTATACAGTCCTCTTATTTCATAAAAAAACAGTAAGTAAGCTAACTGGAAGATCAACTGGACGTTAACGTGTCTTATGATACACGTGATTTGGGAACGTTAAAAGATGGTACTTGTTGTTACCCTGTCTGGCGCTCGGCATTGAAGGGCTAAAACAAGGACTGGTCGGCTCGGAGTCAGTATACTGTGTCTGAGTGGGGTATCCATGTTAAACTGCGGCATGATATCTCAGTGAGCTAGCACTATAAATCGGCATCAGTCCGGACTAGTACAAGCAGCCACACACACACATACATGTGCATGCACGTCGCTATATAAGCGCAATAATCTTGGACGCGACGTTAAACCCCATTTCACCTCACCTCACCAGATGATTGCTTTGCGGTTGTTTTAA